ATTTCTTATTATCAGTCAAGGAGGACATGTGTCAATCCTACTTCTTTAGAATGTACAGTTTTATCATTGTTTTACCAAAATGTTTCTTTCTCCTAAAGCTGTGCTTTCCCTATAGTCCTCCAGGAGGGTAAATGCTGGGTTAGGCTTAAGCAAAGCAGTTTTATGATTCAGAATCTTCTTATTGTATTTAAAATCTCCCAATTTGGATTTTAGGCTTTTCTTATTTAGGTTCAAGAGAGGTATGTATTTAATTTGTGTTGGAGAAGAAAGAGTATCTCAAGGTGAAACCGTCTACTTTATCTTCTGAATGGAGGGAGGTTGGTACAGTGCCCAGACTGGAGTTTGCCTACAGAAGCCTGATTAAGGCAGACCCTCAGCTTCACAGCCCCCTGCCCTACTCTGACCACCCAGGAATGCACAGGGGCGAAAGCTCTGCGGTGGCCTCCTTGTCTATTCTCCTTCACAACAGTCTTTTGGCTGGTTTTCCCCACTTTTTATAAAAGAAAGATGTATCTTTCCCCACTCCAATCTAGCCAGGGCTCACTGCTCCAAGTGCAAAACCTTCCCAGATAGTAAATTGTCAAGGGACAATTCAAAATAGCAGTTTTAGGGGAGGCATCTTTAATGATACAGGTACATAATTTTTAAAAATTAATTTTAGGGGGGTATACTGTAAAATGGTTTGAAGACTACAGGAATAGTAGTGATGCATAATGAAAAAAGCATGGATTTGAGTCAGATGCATTTGGGTTCAAGTTCTGGCCTTATCTCTTGGGCCAAGTTAATTGCTTCTTCTGAACCTAGGTCTCTTCATTATTATTTTTTCCTCAGAGAACTGGAAGAAGAATTAAATGATGAGATAAGCAAATTGCTGACCCTAGGACTAGTATATATTAGCATCATTCCCATATAATTCTAGCACATTCTCTCAATCTGCCAGAGATGGGAGGGGTCATAATAATTAATATACTAAGGATATATTTTCAACTTACATATTCATGAAATGTCTACCTGCATAAAAATTAATTTACTAAAGAAAGAAAGCTTCAAAGAGTTGACCAATGTTTGATATGTGGTCCTAATCAAATAAGCCTGTTAAGACTAAGTATACCCAAACACTGAGTACATTAATGGGTGCTTTAGAGTTCAAATTGTGGAACAACTTCTTTCTCCCTCACAAAGCATCCTTCTCCTAGGGGTGACAGAGCCTTTCTGGGAACTCTGAGCTCTCACCTCCTCTGCTGTGCTCCTACCACGCCTCCATAGAGCTGCCTAATGGCTTGTCTGTCTCTTACAGGACTGTGAACTCTCTGGGAGCCAGGAGCATGTGGTGTTCACTGTTGTGTCTCCAGAGTCCAGCCCAATACACATGATACGTTCAGTAAATCATTTACTGAAAGAATAGTTCTCATGCTTGTGTATTGTTTTTTACTGAATTGTAATTACACCATGCAAATGAGTTTGTATGAGAAAGATATTTAATATATTTCTAAGGACACAGAGGTGCTGAATTTAGCAAGATGATCAAGGAGATGTGGTAATGAACTTCTTAAATAGCCCATTTCCAAGATTTTTACAGATTTTTTAGCGTTCTAGTATGGAAAATTTCAAACACACGAAAAGGCAGAGAGAAAAGTATGAATATAGTAAATCCCCGTGTAACTATCACCTTGCTGCCTCAATTATCAATATATGGCAAGCTCTTTTATCTATGTCCATTCTCCTACCCCATTATCAGATTATTTTGAGGCAAATCCCAGACGTCATACTACTCAGTCCTTAAAGACTTCAGTTACATATAGATTTTAAGTTTACTTCAGTATTCAAATTTACTTCTATTTATCCCATTTATTTACTCAATACATCTCTATGGACACGTTTTAAATCAGCAATTTGGTATTTCTGACTAAAATTTTCCTTTAATAATTTTTTTATTAAATCATAACTATGTGCAATTATGGGGTACAATGTGAAATAATGTTTTTATTAGTGTTTCTTTCTGCCTATTCCCATAACTTGTCTAAACTACTCCCAGTGTTTAACTGGAAAATGAACGCCAAGAGAAAGTTCAACGGGTTCCTGAAAAGTATTACCGACCCAGAATTCCAGGAAAGCTGGCCAAGGTTCCTTCTGACTCAGACAACGTCCAAGCTTAGGGAACTTCACCCAGGAAGAAGGACGATTGTAAATAGCCGTCCTTCCGACTGGGTGAAGCCCCCGTGAGCCCACACATGTGCTAATGTGACCGTTTTGGTGAGAACCCACACCTCTAACTATGACTCAGCTACTTTAGAGGAGAGATTCTTTCTTCTGGTGGCAACTTATAACTACACGAAGTTTTTAACCTTTTGACAGTGGAGTGCTGGAAATGAAACGTGCCTGCTACGGGCATCGTCCACACCAGGTGTTGTTTGTAAACAAAAGGATAAAGATACAGTTCCTGGAATTTCAAAAAGCCAAGTCTCATAGGGATTCTGATGTGCAGGTAGTGGGTAGCACCCTCGCCCACCTGGGGGATGTGTTCAAGAACTGAGGGCTTTAAAAACGCACACAAAACCCAGTGTCCAGATCTTGGTTTCTAATATTGGTTTCCAATCAAAGGAACCAGGCTCCTTGGACAGATGGTAGCTTCTAGGATGAGGGTAGGAAATACGTAAGATGAACCTGGAGCAGCTGATAGTGCCAGAAAGTAAGAAAATGCTTAAAACAAAACAAAAGCAAAAACAAAAAGCGCCCCCCCCAGCCCCTGATAATAACTGGGGCATGGCAAAAGGACAAAGGAGCCAAATGAGAGCTGGGATAGCCAGAGCTGGAACAGTCTGAGCAATGAAATAAAGTAGTATTGGACTGTAACCCCCAATATGAAATAACTGTACACAAGCCCAAGGTGACATGAGTAAACAACTGAAAAACTAAACAAATGAGGAAGAAGAGACAAATCTCCCAAGTAGAAGGACTCCAAATAATTTTGTACATACTTTGCTCCTAAGGGGGTGGGACACAACTCCTCACTCCTTAAGTGTGTGTGTGGGGTGCTCAGAGTGACTTTCTCCCAGAGTCCGGTATGGAAGGAGGGGAACATAAGTAACTTTAACGTGGAGAGAACTGACACAAACACTACGGTGATGAGTTCTGTTGACAGTGTGCGGCCGTGATACGACGTGATGAAAATGGCACTTCACTTCCACGGTCCTCCTCCCCACATCAGGCATGTCTCAACAGGGAGAGTCTATGAAATGCTTGGTGAGTATTCCTCAAAACTGTCAAGGTCATCAAAAACAAGTAAAGTCCGAGAAACTATCACAGCTTAGAAGAGCTACAGAGATGTGACAACTAAACAAACGTGCTATCCTGGAACAGAAACATGGTGTTGCACAAGAAAAGACGGAGACGCTCCATCTTTTGTGTCACCTGGATGCAGGTGAAACACTGTCTTTTTAGCAAAGTATCTCAGGAATGGAAAAAATAATATCCAGGATACTCAATACTAATAAACCAATATATAAACAATTAAACACCCACACGAAAGATACAACACAAATATAGTCTGGCAAAGGGTGGGGGAGAGAGGTGAGGGGAGGGGGTCAGAGGGAGGGCAATCGGCGGGATCTCACCTGATGTGCACAATGTGGGGTGTTCAGCACACCCCCTGCCTGACGTGCTCAACTACAACTTGAACTTTACCTTAGAATTGAAAACGATATAACCTAAACATTCATACCCTCACATTAATCTGAAATATGGAAAAAAAATGGTATTAGGTAAAAACTAAGGAAATCTGAAAAAGCCATGAACTTTAGCCAGTTTCAAGACTGGCTAATTAATTGTGACACACGCAGCACACTGACATAACACATTCAGAATAGAGGAAACTGGGTGTGTGCATATATAGGAGCTCGCTATACTGTTGGGGTTCTGCAAATCTAACAGAAATAAAGTCTACTAAAATAAAAATTTACCCAGCTGAACGGCTGACTCTATGATTTAGGCTATGAGCTAAGTATTTGTTTGTACTCAGGAAATTGGAGGCTGTGTGTGTTTGTGTATGTGTCTGTTTGTCTGTGCATCTGTGTCTATGTGTCTGTTTTTCTGTGTGGGGGGCCAATCCAAGTTCCTAAATGTTTACAAATAGTCTTTGGGTTTAAGGAGAGGCCAAAAGGGCTGAGTCAACTCTTAACATTTTAGTTCTACCCTACATGTTTCCACTCCCTGGCTCCATGCCTCACCTTCTGGGCTGACCCACAGTGTAAGGGAGCCCTGCCGGCTGGGAAATGAGCCGTGACATTCACGCCCAGAGAAGCCAGTGTACACAGGCACTCGCGCACATGGAGTGTATATTTCTAGTATGCTTTGGGAATGAAAGCAAAAGTGATATGTACCATTTTGTGATTTAAAAAAAGCAACTCTAATGTCAAGTCACGAGAGAAAAAAAATCATCCATCAATCAAGAGCTGTGATGATGCCCAAATATTACATTGGTTTTGAGAATAATCCCACATACACTCTCACTTTTCTCTCTTCTGGATCCTAAAACTTCCTTTGCCACACTGCAGTGCGTCTGTGGAGGGAAGGAAGTGGTACGGCACACAGCCGCTTGCGGCAGCTGCAGCTTTTCTCCTATTGTTTGGTCCACTGTTGGCCCTCCTCTGAGAGTGCCATTTCCCACTGCCCCGCACTTGGCCCTGAAAGGGTGAGGAGGATTCTTCCTCCCTAACCTGCATTCTAAAATGGAATCTGAACACTTGGTTACCTAGTACTAGGCAGAGGTAGGCAATGTTTCTGTGTAACTTTGTTCCCTCATTCTGGTTAAACTTAATGAGGTAAAGGTTGAGAATAAATATAAGAAACCAAAAGGTAAAAGTCATTCCGGGGGACGGGAAGGAGGGGAACCTGATCCAGGGTAAGAGGCAGAGAGATGCAATACTTGACTAAAAGTTGGCCTGGTCTGGCCAAATGAGACTGCATGTGACATATTCAGATATTCTTTTATAAGATCGTACCTGCTTGTTGAAATGTCCTCGAAAGGGTAGAGGATCTCTCCATTGTTACAGATTTCGCAGATGAACCCCTTCTGGCTACAAAGACTGCAGCTGTACACGTGTGCGGTGGCAAATTTAATGACCTTGCCCAAGAATGGAGCCAGCTTTCCCTCTATCACCTGCAGAAAAAGAAATTGGACAGGGAAGCAAATTCATTGAGAACAGAAGTCTCCTAGATACAGGGAAGGAAAGGAATTCCTCTCCTTTACACAACAGGAAAACCTCTAATTATAATTTCTCAGCAGCTCTGAGGAAGAAAAAATGTAGTATTTTTGCTCTGAAAGAACTTTCTGGCTTAACCACTGGAGGTCGAAAAATAAAGATGCTGAACTTCTTTTGTATCCCTCTTTATTTTTAGTGTAGTGTAGGGGGCTGAAGACCAACAAATGGAGAGCCCAACTTCTCAGACCAACTTTACAGTTATGGTGTGGGGCGGGTTTTCCAAAATAGATTGAAAATATACATAATAAACATGAGCACATAAGTCTATGTTGTAAATTCAGTAATACCTTTTTTCTCAGATGAATCGTGGGTTAGATTTTTCATCATATAGCCCAAGAGCAAATGAAGAAACATCGTTTTCTTTGGCTGTCTGAGGGCCATTTTTAGCCTATAGATTTTTTTTTTTTCTAAAAAACTCTTGGTATTTAGAAAAAGAGAGCCAACTTAAAAATTGGGAGATATCTTATAAAGATCCACATTTTTGGCTTCTTTTGAAAAATCAGTAGATCTAGCAAAACTAGGCCTGAATTCTACATGATGATGACCCTGGCCCTGTACCAGGGGCTGCCCTTGTCACTGAGGTGCGTGCTCTGCACCCACCAGGTTCTAGTATCTTGCGTCTGCCTGCTTCCTGTACTTACCTGGCCCGTTGGGGTACCTGTTGTCTGGCACACATCTGAGTTTAGGTCCCCCGCCCAACTTAACTAAGACCCATGGGCTTCAAAGACATTAGTATTTCACACAGTTACAAGATAAAATCTGCCTTTTCTTCTCCCTCATTAACACATACATGTATACCTGCTGATTTTGATATAAGAAAGAAATTCAAGATGAAATTTAATTTATAAATAGCTGAAAATAACTGGAAATGGCTGGATATTTTCTTTCCAAAGAATACATAGTTAACATTGCAATATTGCATAAAAATAACATCTGAGAGAAAGTAGTAAATCAAACCTAAAAAGAAATTGCAGTGTCTAAGTGAGTAGGTGGTAGTGATGAGTAACAGAAAAATAAAAGATGAGAGGCCAAGCATGGTGGTTCACGCCTGCAGTTCTGACCCTATAGGAAGCTGAGAGAGGAAGATCACTTGAACTCAAGAATTTGAGACCAGCCTAAGCAAGAGCAAGACCTCATCTCTATCTAAAAATAGAAAAAATTAACCAGGTGTGGTGGCAGGCACCTGAGTCCCAGCTACTTAGGGGACTGAGGCAGGAGGATCGCTTGAACCCAGGAGTTTGAGGTTGCTATGAGCTAGGCTAATGCCACAGCACTCTAGCCTGGGCAACAGTGTGAGACTCTGTCTCAAAACAAAACAAAAACCAAGAAAGACAGACTGCAAAGAACATAATCATGTCTTTTGCAAAAATGAAGCGATACATAATACTAGAGATAAAAACTGAGGTGGTTTTTAAACATCATGAAACAGTTGCACGATGTTTTAGAAATAAATGTAACAGCGATTAATTCTAGGGAGGTGAACAAGTCAGAGGAGCAAACCTGTCACTTTGTGTATATTTTTGCATTTTAAAAAAATACTGTATATTATTTTTGCATTAAACTGCAGAAGATGAACAGAAAAGTCAGGATTGCTCTTTGTAAGAATGGAGTTTTTTCTTAGGAAAGGGGGTAGAAATCATCCCGGCTGTTTTTCAGTCAAGCAAGTACATTTTCCACCACTCTTCAACTTACTCTCCTCTCTCCATCACGTTTAGAAAGTCAAACAGACCACGTGTTATTTATGTTCTCTGAGGGATCAACGAACCCCAGTAAGACATGGATCCATGATACATGCTTTCTAAGAAATAACCACTACCAAATCCTATACCAACCACCAGTTAACACTTTCCAGTGTGTCATGGGGTTATTTCTAAATTGTGGTAACAATACTTCAAATTGAGTTTGGTTTTCCTTATTTTACTCTTCCCTAAACAATCAAGGCTAATGCCACATTTAAATATAGGTACAAACAAACTCCAGCTCACTTAGGGGAAATCAATATACAGAACAGTCTGGAAACCAGGTGAGTAAAGGTTGTTTGAAGAAACTGGGGATGAGAAAAGACGACGCTGAAGAAGACCTGAGAGTTATCCAGGATCTAAAGGAGAAGCATGAGTGTCAAGATTTCCTGTGACAGAGTATGAACATTTTGAAGGCTCTTGAAATACTTCACCAAATTATACTGCCAGCAATGGACATTTATTCTTAACTAAGGACTTTAATAAGATTTGGGGATTGATAGCTTTATAATATTTTGTCTTCTTATCAAAGAGTGTAACACATATCTTCATTTTATTACATCTTTATTATTGCTTAATAAAAATTTGTTTTGTTTACTTGCATGAGCTACTCACATTGATTATTTACACTATTTCAATGTTAAACTTTTGTGTAATATTTGTCTGGTTAGCCGTTGCTGGTCTATTAGAATATATTGACATTTGTGGACATCTTATGTATGTCCATATTCCTTAATTTTCATCAGTGCTAACATTTTTAGGTAATTCTTGTGGGTCTTCTGAAAGTAACTAACTGGTTTCCTCCTTTCTAATATCATACTTCTTTTTTTTTTTTGAGATAGAGCCTCAAGCTGTCCCCCTGGGTAGAGTGCTGTGGCATCACAGCTCACAGCAACCTCCAACTCCTGGGCTCAAGCAAGTCTCCTGCCTCCACCTCCCAAGTAGCTGGGACTACAGGCACCCGCCACAACACCTGGCTATTTTTTGGTTGCATCTGTCATTGTTGTTTTGGCTGGCCCAGGCTGGATTTGAACCCGCCACCTTAGGTGTATGTGGCTGGCGCCTTAGCCACTTGAGCCACAGGTACCAAGCCAATATCATACCTCTTAATTAAACTTCACGTCTTATTGCATTGTCCAGGGCTCCCCAAATAATATGGTGTTAGTGGCCATTTTTGTTATTTCAATAAAAATCAGACTGGAAATTGTGGGGTTTATAGTGAGTAACTTATTTTCTCCACCAAACACATATGTGGGTCATTATAAAAGTTTTGAGATCAAAAATCAAGAAACGTAAAATTGGTGCAGACAGAAACAAATGAAGCCCTCCCAGCAACATCAATAAGCTGAGCAAGCTGAAAGGACGCTTGCCTGGACTCAGAAAGGACGTTGTCAACTGTATTTCTGGGAAGTGAAATAATGGACCATAACATTGCCTGTCTCAAAGCTTTCATAGAGACCTATGTAGGAGATTATTGTTTCATTCACCATGTTTTCTAGGTTCCTTTTCTCCCTTTCTAAATAATAGTTTTATTGAGACATAATCCACATACTATGCAATTCACCTATCAAAAGTCTACAATTCAGGCAGTGCCCAAAGCTCAATCAGCAAGGGCACTGGCCACATACATCTAGGGTGGTAGGTTCGAACCCAGCCTGGATCTGCTAAGTAACAATGACAACTGCAACCAAAAAACAGCCAGGCATTGTGGTAGGCACCTGTAGTCCAGCTACTTGGGAGGCTGAGGCAAGAGAATCACTTAAGCCCAAGAGTTTGAGGTTGCTGTGAGTTGTGACATCACAGCACTTTACCTAGGGTGACAGCTTGAGACTCTGTCTCAAAAAAAAAAAAAAAGTCTACAATTCAAAGATTCAATGGTACTTAGTTTATTCAGAGTTGTGCAACATCGCTACAACCATTTCTAGAACCTTTCACCAACCCTCCCATTAGCAGCCACTTCCCACTTCCTCTTACTATCCCTCAAGCCCAGGAACCAATAATCCACTGTCTTTTATAGATTTGCCCATTCTGGACATTTCATATGGGTACAATCATATAATACATGATCTTTAGTACTGACTCCTTTCACTTAGCAAAAAGTTTTCAAAGCTCATGCTGGCTCTCTTTTAAACACCTTCAGTATAGGTCTCTTTTTTCTATTCTACCCCAGATTCTCATCATCCCTCTCCAGGTCAACAAAGTCATCTCCTAGTTGTATTCCAGAATGCCAGTCTTTTCTCTTTAATCCATATAGCATACATAATAATCTGTTTTAAATATAATTTTCATCAGGTATCATCTCTTCCCTCAAACCTTTGGTGAATTTTTATTTTATCATTAATCAAAACTCTTTATTATTTCATTTCATAAAATTACTATGAAGTTACCATGTCCCAGATACTTGATATGAGAGTGAACAACACAAAACTGGAACATATATTTTGCCTGGTATGAAAAATGCCTTCTCCGTAAGTTAATTCCACACCATCCACCCAAAGCCGTTTCCATCTGTATTGTCTCTATGTATGTATCTTCCGGTAGAAGCAAAATTTCCCCTGTGTAGAATATGTGCACTTTGCTCCTGGGCCCTCTCCCGTATCATTTCTCTTATCTGGAGTTACACTTAACCCTTATTTAAATTTCACACAGGCTTCCTGGCTCAGCTCTATTCTGGTTTGTTCTGGAAAGCCATCTTTGGTTACGTCAGCGGCCACAGATCTCTATGCTTCTCCCCGGCCCTTTATTTTTACACCAGATAATTTAATATGGAACTCAGTGCTGTGTTGTGCTGCTTGCCTTTGTTTAACTTGTGATTGTTTTGCTTATCCAACAGCAGATCGCACATTTAAAAATGATGATGTTTGACCATTCTTACCCACAAACATGGCAATTTTAATGGGGCAACCAAAGAGAATATAAATTGCTTGAGGCTACAGAGTGAGCCTCATACTGGTTTTAAATATCCCCTCTTTGCCAGGCACCTGAGTTCTTGTTGACTGACCAAGGATGCTTTTCATCTTCTCTGGTGGCTGTTGGCAGTCATATCTTAGGGTTGTCTTAACAGCACAGACTTTTTCATCACTGTGCTGTGTGATTCAGGGAGGGGCCTAGAATCACACATGGACCTGGTGGAGGCTCAGCTCTTCTGGGCCCTTTTT